TGGTTTATCGTTAACCAGTTTGTAGATACCTTATTTAGTGTAAGCCTCGAAATTTCATTATTTTAATGTATAATGTAGTTATTCTGGCACATATGTTTTGAATAACCGATGTAAATTTGCTTTAAATTCTGATGAATAAATGATTTTAATAATTCAGTAAAGCCTCTAGTGCGATTTTTGGGAATTTGCATCAAAATTTTAGTTGATGCTCAAAAACAAATATTTTATTTCTTTAAATAAAATCGATGTTATATAACTTAAACGTTTTTTTTTACTCTTGGTATTAGTCTTTTGCATTACATGTTAGATATTTTATATTAGTACTTTTATATATAATATAGAAAAACATTATCTTATATACATGACAAAATACAAAAGTATTGAAATCTCATATACCTCAGAATTTTATAATTTTTATGTAATTTGGTGCCTATTTCATGATTGGTATTAATATTAAAATTAATACAGAATTCGTGTATAATTTTTAGGTCTATCTCAAAATTATATAAAATTTTGTATAGGTATTCAGTGTTATATTTTATTAAATAAATGATACTAAATTTTATTATTAAATGATTGGTAATAATATTAAAGCCAGTACAAAATTCAAGTGTAATTTTTACAAATCTGCTTAATAAACGTATTTTATGCTATATCCTAGTTATTTATTGCTCATTTATTTAATAAAATAACCGACGTGCATTACATTTCATAACTAAATAATATCTATTGATTTAATATTAATATAATAAGTTATTACAAAACTCATCTGCGATTCTTGTGAATCTGCCTCGGATTATTATTTTTTGATAGTTATTTTTAGTGGGTATTTTATAAAATATCTTATTTATTTTATTTCTTTAATAAATGATTTGTATCAATATTAAAGTCAGTACAAAGCCCTTGTATAATTTTTGAAAATATGCATCGGAATTTTATCAGATTTGGTCTTGATATTATAAATGTTTGCTCTTAAATGAAGAAGTGATTCATGCAATATTTATTTTATTAGTAAATGTTTGGTATTTTATTCCAGTAAAAAATTCAAATGTAACTGTTATAAAACTGTTTCAAATTCATTGTATGTTCTAGATATTTGTTGCTTATTTTATTAAACCACCGACGAGTATTTAATATCATAATTAAATAATTTTATTAACATTGACGTGTGAGCCATGTGTGATTTTTGTGGATCTGCTTCAAAATTTTATTGTGTGCTATTTTGTTGAATGACCGATATAAAATTGATTTTTTTATAATTACATGAAGATTATTAACATAGACAAAACTCAAGTGTTTTTATTATTTGTTCTCAAAATTTATTATTTCATTGTATATTCTGGTTAGTTGGTTGTTATTTTATGCGATAACTGGTGCGCATTTTGTTTCATTTTTTAATTGGTAGTAAATTAAATTGAGTACAAAATACAGTATAATTTTTGTATTTTATTTTATTGTCAGGCTTAATTGTTATTTTTGAAATGTTGCAAAGCTTTTTTAATCATTTTTTTTAATTATTTCTTAAGTGTATTAATAATCTTTTCAAGAGTTTTTATTATATTGTCCTGTTTCACCTACATAAACAGCATCGCAATCTTTACAGTCAATTTTATAAACATGTGGTGGAAGTATATTCATAAGGATTCATTATCATAATCAATTTATTATTTATTGTTTGGAAAAGTAGTTGAAAAAATCCACAATATAATATTTTTACTGTGATTATATTAAATAAATAGGGCCTATAGGCTAGTCTATAGGTTTTATAGTCACTAATATGAACACGAATAAGTACAAATTATATATAATTATGGTATTAATTAATTTTTTCAAATTTCTGCAATTCAATTAAATCCATAAGTGTATCAATAAAATGAGTTTTTTGTGTTTTTGGGATGAAATATATTGTAAATCTCTTTTAAGCGTTTTTTTTTTTAAATATCTTTTAAGAATATTAATATTTTTTTCAAGAGTTTTATTAAATATTATCCTGTTACTTACACCTATATAAACAATATCGCAATCTTCATAGTCAATTTTATAAACATATGGTAGGCGTATTATTCAAAAGGATACATTATCACTATCAATTTATTATTTATTGCTTGGAAGTGGTTAAAACATTTCACAATATAATATTTTTACTATTAAAAATTTATCTTATATTGCTAGATTTTGTGGAAAAGTGATTATATTAAGTATTCGGCTAGTCTATAGGTTTTATATAGTCACTAATATGAATACAAAATACAAATTTATAATCATGATAATAATTACGTTTGTTTTTTGTCAAATACTATTGTCAGTCAAATATATGAATTTTAATTAAATCATTAAGTGTATCTATAAAATGAGTTTATTGTGTTTTTTGGGATAAAATATTTTGTATCAATTATCAATTGCTATTTTGATTCATCATTTTAATAAACCCCCAAATAATAATTTTTATCAATCACTTTCTAAATAATTCAAACCAAATAGGATTTTATATTTATATAATTTATAAATCAGAATGATGAAGCACTTAAGTTTCTATCTGGAAATTTTGAAATAACGAGTCATTGTGAAATTTTTTTAAAATTGTAATTAATTAATTACGACAAAGCCTCAATTTTTGGTA